GTAGCTAATTTAGCTGGAGGTGAAGCTGGTGGTCACACAGAAACAGCTAAAGCAGTACCAAGGCAAGAATATCCTGTTACAGATTTAGCTCACAGTTTCCCTGCTGCATCTCAGCCCCAAACACGATCAACCTTAAAATTAAAGAGAAAAGTCTTTCCAACATCTTGACTGTCATGCAATATACTGACCCCATCACTTAGACAAGCTGCAATGCTGAAGCTTGATTAGCTCTTTAAAGCTCTCCCTTCATTACTGCTAAAATACAGCAGCAATATGCCTCCAGGTCCTCGTCAGATTTCATTATTGGTCATGACATGTTTCTGAAATACCCAAGCAGTCATTCTTCACTACATTGAAGAAGCACTGCTGCAGTTTTAAATAGTTTCCATATCTTTGGAACAGACCACACCGATGTGTTTCAAAGGAATATAGCTGTTTGCATGCATACATGTGATAAGGGAGGTAGAGAAAGAGACATCATACTCCTTCCTTTACCTAATTTGAGGCAAACAGCAACACACAGAAAAGGGAAGCTTTTTCAGAGCAGTGCTCAATGTACTGCAAGACAACAGCCCCTCTTCACCACCACCACCAAGGGGACAGCCAGAGGGAGCCATGTTTACAGCACAAGGAGCCAAAGAACAGCCAGGGAAAGTGCCATTTTCCTTTGACACAGTGCAAATAAAAAGAGCACACAAAAGAAGGATTTATTCATGCAGCTTGAAGCAGCATTAACTGTCCCTCTCTGCTCAGTGACCTCACCAGATGGGTTTCCTTGCATGGGGGATGACTTACAGTCTGTGCCTGCAGAGCTGCCAAGAATTGTACTACCAAGGGAGGGTGGCAGAAGAGCAAAAAGGAAATTAAGGGGGTACAGCTCTGCTCCCTTGCTTCCCACCTTCTCTCGTTTTGATGGCCCTTCACTTCAGATGGTCTGCCAGCTAAGCCCACTCACGGTTGTGCCTCATCCTAGCTCACTCCCCTTGAAAAATGCACAATGCTGTTTTCCACAGTGTTTCCTCTTACTTTATCTGTGTATAAAAGATTATTGTAGCATTGTTTATAAAGTACTTGGAGATGAATGGTGTTATATAACTGGTAGTTACTGTCATATCATTTTCAGAATGATGGATAACTACCCTGTGAATGTGAATGCAGTCTCCCCTTGAGGCCTGGCAGTGCAAAATAAACTCAGTGACCCAAAATAATATTCAGCTCAGTTCTCCTAAGGAGGAAGGTATCGTCCATTAGTAGATAGCTGCTAAGTTGTAAGTGCAGTTGTAAGTGTAAGTGCAGTTACATTCTTATTTAGGCCAAAGCTGCAATTCTTTGCAAGCTCCTGCAGACACTGTCGTTAACTGTTTGGAATGGGTCGTACCAAGAGGACTGTCCTCATGCAGTAATACACTCCTTTGGCTAAAAGAATCTGGTACTCTGATTCCAGTGTCCTGCAGCATCACTTATTTTTAGGCTCACAAAACATTTCAGGCACTTAATTCTTTCCACCAAAGTCCAGTGGGAACTGATGGGTCTAAGTTTTCAATAGAGCACATAGTTCATCTTTAAGCACCACTCTCAAACAACAATGCATCTAAAACACATGCTGCATAATGCTTCATTTCAGGATATGCTGAGGCTATAAGAACATGTTAAGTGCTTTGCTGAACTGTGATCTAACCATGCTTCTGGTTCTATTACTCAGTGTCTGGCAGCAAACTCTCTCATTAGGAAGAAAATCCTTTACTACCTTATAAGCCAACAGAAATTATAAATCCTTGTAAAGAAGTTGTCAGAGCTGAGTTCAAACTGCACTTGACAACTCTTAAGAAAGCCAAGCCAAACAACTGTATTTAATCATATTTGAGAATAATTTGTATTTTCTACTGCAAAGCTATTTTGTGTATTATGGAACAACAAAAAAAAAGTTCAAATGGAAGGCTGAGGAATGATTTGACAAGCTTGAATGCAATCCTGTGCAGAAATATTTTGCTCTCACAGAGTTTGACCTTGATTGAGCAGAGATCTCATTTCTCCTACTCGAACAAATCTTCACCCCAGTTTCAGCTAAGTGCTAACAGGGCTGAACTTTGGAACCAAGAACTGACTTTTGCCAGCTAGTTCCAGTAGAAGGTTAAGGGCCCCCAGCACCTCTCAAGACCTAGTCTTGCAGTATGTACACAAATACAGAATAAAGTTCAACAAGCAGATATGACCATTTAACAGTTCACTGACAGTGAAAGCAGAAGATTTCTTGTCTCCACTGCTTGCTCACCTCCCTGCACCACAGACCTTTTCCCCCATCATCCTTGCACTGACACTTTCTTGCTTTCTGTGAGACAATTATTCAACCTACAAATATGATAGAAAACTCTCTACCTTGTTGTCGCTCTTGGGTTAGTTTTCTACCAGATTAGTGAGCTCAAGCCCCTCCTGAAAGGAGAGTCAGTACCTGCATACTTACACAAGGACAGACCAATCCAAGGTAAGCAACAGAAGGAAACGTAGTGGAAGGAAGAAGACCAAAAGGGAATGAGATAGACTAGACCTTCCCTCTCCATTCCCAATGGGCTTTTAAGATCAGCTCCACCCACTCTCCATAAGACCCAACTTTTCCCCCCTACATTAGTTTTACGCCAGTGTTACTCCACTGGCTGTAATAATTACTACTGCATTCCATTTTCACTGTGTTTCATCTTCAGAGGCCCTGGCCATGTGCAAGTTTCCACTGCTCTGGTTCCTGCTGTGAAGCACTGGCAGTCTAATTCAGCACACTGCACAACTGGGAGAGCAGTAGGTGATCAATGGTCGTGAAGAGGGAAAGGTAATACCTACACCACACCTAGACAAAGCTAGATCCTGCAAGCCTCATTGAATCATTTAGGACTGATTCAGCTGTTGGATGGGTTTAATCAGCTAAAGTCAATTAAACTAAATTGCCTGATTTTTTTCTAAAAAAAGTCACTCTAATTCTATCGATCTGGATTTTTAAATCTGCACATTGCACCAGTTCTTTTCTTCTTTCGACATTTATTCTCACCAAATAGCTAATTCTGCACTTCATCCTGAGGCAAAATCTCACCCTAAACCAAAGAGGAGGTTGCCTATGTCTAGAGTGCAGCAAGACTTGGACTTTAGTCCTGTTGCGGTCTTTGTTTGCTTACTTAGATAGGGACTGGTGTAGCAATATGCTGAAACCGCAACAGGACTAAAGTAGCCATGGAAATCAACATCTTCAAGTAATGTGAGGAATTCTGCACTCTGTTGTCCCTTTCTCTTCCCCCAAGCTTTAGACTGAGCTCTGTGTCGATGCATCTTTATGCATCTGCATAGATGCATAAAAAATCTATTTGTCCAGCACTTACTATGATGTTTTACTGAATAGGAAGGCAAAATATCTTTCATTCTTCCATTATTATTATTGAAAGCCATGGTAAAGAACAGGTAAGCAGGATTTGTGTCTGGGCTGTAGAACGTTACAGGAGTATTTTGCAAGGCTGATTTAAATTTATCACAGTGCATCTATATCTCATGTTTTGTCTATATTTCATCTCATCTCTTGCATAAATTATAATTTAAATTGTAAATTATAAATTATAATTTACTTAAGGATATTAGAAAGATTGATAAAAACAAACCTTGAGTGTTGACAAACAAGACCACTTTCTAGCAGAACATTCTTGCTGTGCCACAGTACTCAGTAAAGGCAGGAAACAACGTTTGACAACACAAAGTTTAAGGAAAACAAAAAAAATGAGAGAGATGTCCTTTGGAAAAAAAAAAAAAAAGATAATAAAGCTTTTTTCATTTTTTAGAAGCAACTTGGTGTTACTGTTCACTTGGAAGCGGCACAGTTTTGTGTTATCATGATGAAGATGATTTGGCATTTATCTTTCTGAAACATTTTAGCTATAAAATCCACAGCAATGAAAAGGTTTTGTTTGGAAATAAAAAAAAAAAAAACAAGGTCATGTAACAATGAGAGGTGATGTTTTCCATCTCAGTAAAATATATAAGCCACAGCACGCCATGTTAGACTTTTAAAGTGCCATCGATTCCCAGTCTATAATAATTAAAAACTGTGAACTGTGTAAACAAACGGCATGATTTCAAAGAGGTGCCTAATACATATGCCAAAAAAATCTGAAGTGTACAACAACAACCAAAAATTGCAGATACTGCCCTCATAATTAGCTTTCAGGTTATATCTATCCACCCCCTGATTTTTTTTTAATCTGTTGTGCACTTGGATCAAAATTAGTGTTGTAAGACAAGAACCTTTTTCTTTCAGTCTCAAAATTTTACTGAAGGTATAAAACTGCAAATCTGAAAAAAAGAAAAACCTGTAATTAAAAAAGCTGCACATACTTTTCTCAGAGAGAAACTACGAGACTGAATTATTTAGAAATTTTGAAATAGTAACATGATAAAATTGTTTTAACATATGTATATTTACAATATTTAATAATTTAAGGCTCACAAGAAACTAACATCTCATTGACAACTAAGGTTTTCTACTATACAGTTAAAAGCACCAAATTCACTTCACATACTAGATAACCAGATCTCTACTGATCACAAGTGGAAAATTCTGAAAGTGCAGATAGGCTAATGCTCCTAATGTTTTAGTGAAGTCCTATTTCACAGGAATAAGAAATCCTCTTTCACACATAAATACAGTTATACAAATATCCTCCTACCCTTAAGTCCATTCACTCTCCACACATACATCCCCTCAGCTCTTTAATACTAAACTTGGAGCAAATAAATTGGTTATAAATGACTCATTTAAAATTAAACATTGGCTAAAATAAGTGACTACAAATTAGGTTTGCATTGCCATAACTTACCAGCTCTAATAATGTAGATTATTATTAGTCTAATTTATAATTAGCTGACCCTTTGTGTCATTGAATAAGAATATAAAAACATTTATTCCTGGAGGTCTGCTCAGGACAGTGATCAATTTATTAAATACAGCCTGATTTAAAATACTAAGTAGTAAGGTTTGACACCAGGAAATCCTTCTGCATCTCTCAACTCACTCTCCTTTCCTTACAGCTTTGTTTCCCTACTGGTGTCCAGACAGAGAGTATAGAGAGATTTTCTGAGATTCACATTACTTTTAGCTTTGATACTGGTTTTCTCTAAAGAATTGGTACCGTTGTTGAACCCCTCACTGTTTTCCAAGTGCATAACAGATTTGTTCAATGAGTTTTTACTGGATCTTCTTTTTGCATCTCCCCCAGCTGTGCTACCCTGAGCACTGTTGTGTTCATCTTTGAGAATAGCTTGCTCTTCATGATCAGTTTCACGGTGGTAGAAGTAGTTGAAGTTGGATACAATGACAGGGACAGGCAGGGCGATGGTGAGCACGCCAGCGATGGCACACAAAGAACCTACAATCTTGCCCCCCACAGTGACAGGTCGCATGTCCCCATAGCCCACAGTGGTCATGGTCACTACTGCCCACCAAAAAGCATCAGGGATGCTGGAGAAATGAGACTCAGGGTCATCGGCCTCAGCAAAATAGACAGCGCTGGAAAACAGAATCACCCCAATGAAGAGGAAGAAGATGAGGAGGCCCAGCTCCCTCATGCTGGCTTTCAAAGTCTGTCCCAAGATCTGCAGCCCCTTGGAGTGCCTGGAGAGCTTGAAGATCCTGAAGACTCTGACAAGACGGATGACTCTGAGAATGGCCAAAGACATGGCTTGCTGCTGGCCACTGCCTCCATTGCTACTGCTAGTCCCAGGTTGCTGCTGCTCATGTGCAAGCTCAGTGCCCAGGGTGATGAAGTAGGGGATGATTGCCACAATGTCAATGATGTTCATGATATTGCGGGAAAACTCAGGCTTGCTGGGGCAGGCGAAGAAGCGAACGAGTAGTTCAAAGGTAAACCAGATCACGCAGGTAGTCTCAATGATGAAGAAGGGGTCAGAGAGACTGCTGGATGACTGCATGGGTGGAGAGTCCCTGATTGTGCCATTCAAGTCTCCGTTTTGTGGAGGCAGTGGCATGGGCATCTCCCTCTCATCTCTGAATTCAGGCAGGGTCTCCAGACAGAAGGTGATGATGGAAATGAGGATCACCAGCACAGAGACGATGGCAATGGCCCGGGCTGAGCTGGAGCTCTCAGGGTACTCAAAGATGAGCCAGACCTGGCGCTGGAACTCATTGCGGGGCAGGGGCTTCTCCTTCTCCTTGATGAAGCCCTCGTCCTCCCGAAACCGTTCCATGGCCTCCTCGCCCAGCTGGTAGAAGCGGATCTCGTCAGCAAAGACATCAATGGAGACATTGACAGGCCGTCGGAGCTTGCCCCCAGACTGGTAGAAGTAAAGGATTCCATCAAAGCTGGGCCGGTTCCGGTCAAAGAAATACTCATTGCGAAGCGGGTCAAAGTAGTGCATGCGCTTATCCGGATCACCCAGAAGCGTGTCAGGGAACTGGTTGAGGGTGCCTAGCTGTGTTTCAAAGCGCAGCCCGGAGATGTTGATCAGCACCCGCTGGTGATGCATGACACCCCTGCTCGCCGCTCCCTCTTCCTCTTGCTCGTCCTCCTCCTCCTCCTCC